AGTAGTAGTAGTAGTAGTAGTAGTAGTAGTAGTAGTAGTAGTAGTAGTAGTAGTAGTAGTAGTAGTAGTAGTAGCAGCGGCGGCACCAAGGGGGGCATGGGGGGAAATGCCCCCCAGTCAAAGCCTTTGCTGTTCAAACTCAGAGCTTCCGGGGGCTTCCGTAGGGCCCATTAGTTCTCGCGCTAAGCGATTTAAAAGCTAGCTAATTAATTTTTAACTAGTTGAGAAACAATCTTATCAGGTAAGAATTTGACGATAGATTTAGTCCCGTTAGTTCTTACTTTTAATGTAAAAAAATGGCAACAAACATTTTAAAAATTTTACCAGCGTATCTGCTGTATACCCGGAAACAATCCCTGATTCTAATAATTAGGGCAGTACAGATCCATTAATTATTCTTCAGCATTATGTTATTTATAAGAAAATAATTATTGTAATTATTTACATATGCGTTCGATATAAGAAAGAGTTTCTAATTCTATCTCGAAAATAAGGAGCACCTATGGCACACATAAGGGTAAAAAATATTGATACAATAAAAAGGCGATATGTGAGTTGATGTACAATAAATGTGTAATATAAATGATACATATAGTTACCCAGTATGTGTCGCAACCATACTATTGCGAGTATCTGACTTCTGTGCAAATCGATTGTAGCGCCATGATGATAGGAGAACGTACCTGTCGCTCATCACCCACACACCGAACAACTTTAACTCTATAGTACTAGCTAGTACACAGATACACGCTCATTACATGAACACAACAGGCACAAAACTAGATATAGTAGTTTCCGGTCACCGGAGATTAGGGGTATACAGAGAGTTAACCGGATATATGCAGGACATGTTTACCTAGGTAACAGTTACTTACCATCCCGTTTCGCACTACAAACATACATATGCGCACAAGATGAATATGCGTGTAAGTGTAAATAAATAAATAAATAAATAAATAAATAAATGTATATAATGGTATATGATTATATATACTAGTCCATGCCCGTTAGGTGGTCCATAACGAAATATGCTCCATTTAAGAAACAATGTATAACATTTCTCTGGTTTTAGATTAGATGGAGCTACTTAGAAAATCTTAGATGGAGCGCCTTTGGTTATACATTGTTTTTTACATTGTCATTGTGTTTTCGTGTTGTGACGTTGCTTCGCGCTCGGAGCAAAAATTTCCCACTTTTTTAATGTTTTTGAACGTGGAATGTGAAAAAAAATGAAACTGAAAAAAAATTCCCCATGCAACGTGTCACACACATACAGAAATTCCCTAATTTATAGTAAGATATATATACGAATGTATGTATATAGTTAGATAGATAGATAGATAGATAGATTAATAGATAGATCGATAGATAGATGGATTAATTGCTGGATCGATGAATGGGGAGAAAGGAAGGGGAAGAAAGGTAGAGAGAGAGAGAAAGAGAGCGAGAAAGACAAACAAAGAAAGAGAGAGCGAGGTGAGGAAGCTAGCAAAGGAGTAGCTCTAGTACTATAGCCCTCCGCTCCGCCGCAGGCCTGCGGCAACTGTACGCGGGCTATAGTTACTAGAGCTAGCGAAGGAGCTATTCCTGTTCTCACTATCAGTGACGACGCAACGAAAAGGTCGTTGCCATAGTTATCACGTTTCCCAGTGACAATACTATTAGACTATTGTATATAGACTATTGTATATAGACTAGTGCTATATAGACTTGACACTATAAGACTGATATATTCTGTATACTTTCACACGAACATGGAACCGCCGCTTCCTTGGTTCAGAGTCATGGCCCAAGCAAATACTTACGAGTGAAGATGGTCCGTCATCAACTAAGCAACGTGGAGGAAAGACCTGTTTCGAATCATTTCCACTTTTTACTTCATTTTATCTTGTTTTGTTTTTATAAGTTACTAGCGGGACACCCGGCGTTGCCCGGGAAATGAAGCGCTCAGTTGGTGACCACTTGGTTGAAAGAAAAATACCCAAAATATTATCTATGTATGTATGTATGTATGTAAGTATGTATGTATGTTTATGTATGTATGTATGCAGTATGTAATGGTAGTATGTATGTAATGTACTGTATGTATGTATGTATGATTATGACCTGTATGTAGTGATATGTATGTATGTATGCTAGTGTATGTATGTATGTATGTATGTATGTTATGTATGTATGTATGTATGTACTGTAGTATGTAATGTAATGATATGTATGTATGTATGTATGTTATGTATCGTGGATGTGATGTATGTAATGTATGTTGCTATGTATGTATGTATGGAATGTATGTATGTATGTAATGTATGTATGTAGGTCGTTGTATGTATGTATGTATGTAATGATATGGTAATGTATGTAGTTAATGTATGTATGTATGATTGTAATGTATGTTGTATGTATGTATGTATGTATTAGTATGTAATGTATGATGTTGTATGTATGTAATGTATGATGTATGTATGTATTGTTGTATGGATGTATGTATGTATGGTATGTATGTAATGTATGTAGTATGTATGTATGTATGTATGTATGTATGTATGTATGTGATGTATGTATGCTATTGTAGTGTAATGTTAATGTAGTTAGTATGTACTGTAATGTATGTATGTATGATGTAGATGTATGTATGTATGATTATGTATGGTATGTATGTATGTATGTTATGTATCGTATTATGTATGATATGTATGGTATGTATGTATGTATGTTATGTATGGTATGCATGTATGTAGTATGTATGTATGTATGTATGATAGTATGTAATGTATGTATGTGATGTTATGTATGATGTTAGTGTATGTATGTATGTATTGTATGTATGCTATGTAACTGTATGTATATATCGTATGTATGTATGTATGATTATGTATCGTATGTATGTATGTCTTGTATATGTATTAATGTATTATGTATGTATGTATGTATGTATGTATAATGATGTGTATGTATGAATGTATGGGTATTGTATTGATACCTGTTATGTAAATGTATGTATCGTATGTATGTATGTATGTAAGTACTGATGTATGTAAATTTGTATGTATGAATGTATCGTATGTAATGTATGTATGTATGTATGTATGCTAATGTATGTATGATATTCAATGTATGTATGTATTGTATGTAATGTTGTATGTATGTATGTTTGTATTAGTATGTATGTAGTGTATGTCTGTATGTATGTATGATGTATCTATGTATGTAATGTATGTAATGTATGTATGTATGTATGTATGTATGTATGTATGTATGTATGTATGTATGTATGTATGTATGTATGTATGTATGTATGTATGTATGTATGTGCCCATGACATTCAGCACCAAAATTTACTCTTACTGAACATCTTTGACATTTCTAGAGTGCGCCGTATTGATTTGCATCGAGAACAGACAAACAGACACACATTCACAAATATGTATTAGATGTATTGCACTTCTAAATTATATTTCAAAATTGAATGATATAGTTTGTCATATACTCTAGGCTCTACGGGGGAGTTATTGAGTTAATATTTATATAATATTGTAATGTTTAATTTTATTGTGGGGCCTTTTAACCTTGCGTGATATTATCCCGTGTCGCTGAATTTTATACCGTGTCAGCGAGGTTTATACAGTGTTACTGAGGGTTACACAATGTCGCTGCGGGTTATACCGTGTCGCTGCGGGTTATACCGTGTCGTCGAAGGTTATACCATGTCACTGTGGGTTATACCGTGTCGCCCAACGTTATACCATGTCACTGTGGGTTATACCATGTCACTGTGGGTTATACCATGTCACTGTGGGTTATACCATGTCACTATGGGTTATACCGTATCGCTGAGAGTTACACAATGCCGCTGTGGGTTATAACGTGTCGCTAAGGTCAATACCGTTTTGCTGAGGGTTATACCGTGCCGGTGAATTTTATCCTGCGAACTAAAATTTCATACCACGTTCGTGCGCGTACCATAATATCCTAGCGACAGACGCACATGGACGCATACGCATGCACACTATCTTTTTAACTAACCATAACTAACTAAGGGAGAAACTTGACGTCTCGCGAACATCGTGGCAGGAGTCGAGCTATGAGAAGTGGCAAACTAGCTGATTGCGTCCAACAATGTGGTGTTTTTATATATAGCAGAGCGCCAGAACGCCCTTTTCATTATAATTATATTGCAGTAGTCAGACAGAGAGACATACTCTGACGGTGAACATATACAGATGGCTGTGTTAGTTGTGCGAATACAAAACGCAAGGTGGAAGAGAGCGCAGGTAAACCATGACACACTGTCGGAATGAATGCGATTCTACAATGATTAGGATAACCTTCTTCTCTGTAGTTGAGGATTTTCAAAAATAAATGTCTTGAATAAAACGTATTTCGTTACACGATTTCTCCTGCGTGACCACCCATGTTTTTACTTATATATACACAATATATATATATATATTATATATATTCTGTTAAATGGTATCTTGATTGGCATTTTTAGGTGGCATGCGCGGACATACAAACACATGCGTCACTTCTACATACATCGCTCTTCGATAGTTCTCTCATATTATCAAACAGCAGTAGCAAGACAGGGAAACACGATGTAGTTAGTATGAAAAAGAAAGACGATTTTATACGCAACGCGTGCTATCAAATACGCTGATTTTATTCCTCATAAATCTATTATTTACACAAGGTCTACAATGTACGCGTCCATTTTGTACAAGAATACTGTTATGCTTACATCCACGCGGAACACATCAGCTGAAAAACACATTTACAGCTCAAAATTGCTGTGATAACTCATATCTTATGAAACTACGTGACGTTGTTTGTATATGAGAATGGGGAAAGCGGACACACACGCGCACACACAAACGCACATTCGCCCTAGTGCATCTTTTATTAAGCTGTTAGAACGATACCGCAGGTGTGTGGGTGCGTTTGAAAGTACGACGGTGCGAGGGGACTGCTCTGGTGGTGGTGGTGGTGGTGGTGGTGGTGATGGTTGGGGGAAACCGACATTTTATATGCGATTATTCAAATATTGGTGTCGTTTACGCCGCTATATAAAATGCCACATGGCAGCGGCAGTGAATTACACCAAAACATGAGCTACAGCCGTAGGCGCGTGCAAGTGTTATAACACAGTCATCGACGGCGTATCATGATCATATGACGTACAGCGTTTTTATAAAGTAAAACGTTAGTAGTTCGTATATATATATATTTATATATAGTATATAAGTTCGTGAACGTTGCATCGGTGTAGACAATCGTGATCGCGCATAGCGTATAGAACGGGATAACACTTCATCGAGTGCTTCACACATGGATAGAGACTATATCGACTGAGTAAGGCCAAAATGTGTTCGGATAATTGCCTAAGTTATACGGTAATACAATAGCTTTGCGCGGAGGGACATCGGCAGCTCAGATGTACTCGACAATGTCGCACTTTACTCGCGTCCTTTTCGGTGCGTCGGCGAATTTTCCAGCGACGGGCGCTGTCACCTTGCGAGGAGGAGGTGGATGTGGAAGAGGAGAGTGGGGAGGGGGAGCTCGGTCGCCGACAGGCGTCGCGTGGCAGGCGTTCGGCAGATTATTAACTAACATAATCTCGCGCTCCTCGGAATTACTGCGAGCATCATCATCGTCGTCGTCGTCGTCAGCGTCGTCGTCGTCGTCAGCGTCGTCGTCGTCGGCGTGAGAGTTCTGCCGGAGGAGGCATTCGGCCTCGTCAGCTGTTGCGTCGGCGTGCGGGCGTCGCGGCGGCGGCGGCGGCGGCGTGGGCTTCATCGTGAGCGGTGGCTTCGTCCTGTGCGCTCTATCGTGCCCGGGGGGCATGCCCAGCAGCCGCTCGACACTGCGCGCCTCACCGAGCAGGCTGTGCGACTCGGGAGGCTGCGCATCTGCATCCTTGCCCGCCGTCTCTTCCCCGCTGCCAGCCGCCGCCGCATGTCTCTCACGGAGCCGGTCGCCCGCATCATCGCCGACACTGTACGTGGCGGACGCAGCGACGTCGACGGCGTCGCCAAGTCGGCCAGCTGACTGGTCGCCGATCGAAGAATTCGCCGACGTTGTACGCGCGTCGTCGGCGGTGACGGTGTGGTCGCTAGAGTTCGCTCGTAGCCGATGCTCGGATGCGACGCTGCGGCTCGGAGAGCTAGCTGTCAGTGTGCCGCTGCAGAGCGAGTCCTTTCGACTGCCGACAGGTGTCGCTGCGTCGTCATCACCTGTTCGATGGCGAATAGATGCGCGTGAGTGAGAGATCACGACCACCGATCGTCGCCTAGCAACACAAACCGACGCTGTCGCGTGACACCTCCTCCTCCTCCTGCTGCCGGGGGAAGCTTGGCGAGAGCACCCCCCCCCACCCGCGTCCAAACAATGGCTCTACGTAGGCGTACACGCACGGGTTGTTCGCACGCGATCTTTACTCGTAGCGCTGAGCTAGATCCGGCGATAAAGGGAACCTCCCGGGGAGAAAACACTGCACTTATACGTGCGTGTACAAAAAATGACAGTAGCGAGGGGATGTTTATTTTATTTCGTACACGTGCTGTCGTCTACCTAACAGCTACTGGTCAATATTATCCGAAAATCTCACCTCAAAGCAAGCGGCGGATAGCGACGAAAGAGAGGAACTAAGTAGATTCGATTTAGCTATGCGCATTCGAAATCTAGAGAAATATGCGCGCTCGCGCGAAATTTCTTTAAAGCAGTTCAATAACGAGTTAACAGCCAAAACTATGTAAGAAAGTGCGCTTCCTTTGATCTACTTCACACGCCGCTCGCCAAACGCTTCGAGAATGTTCGACCTGTGTGTGTATTCCGCGCAGGCGTAGTTGATTAAAACGTGAGCGCGAAACACGGCGTCTCGTTGCTATGGAGGTAGTCAAGCAGTGAGTCGCGCAAATCTATTTTTGCGTTCGCCATGTTCGGTAGGCAATCCGAGTCGTGTCGCGATACGTCTTCAGTGAAGCGAACGTTTTCACGCGTTCTCGTATACGAAGGTGAGAGAGAGAAATTGCTATATACGTATAACGCATAACGCATGCATCTTTTTCGCAAATGGGAAACAGTGAATTCGTACAGGAGAACGGACGCACGTAGGCACAGCAAAATGCACATGATGCATACAAAATGCACAAAATGCGTAAGAATAACGTCGATATACATACGGCGTCGGACTGTACTTCGTTGCTGCTGATTCGTCCGGCCCCAGATGTGCCTTTCCCCCGGCCACCTCCGGAGCAAGCCCCTTACTTCGATTAAGCATGCAGGTGTTGCACTACACCTATGTGTGTGCATGTATACACTATATACCTTGCGTAAATATAATGTATCATAACAGTTACCTTGTTCGGCGACCCGAGGCATCCGAATCTGAATATCACGTGACCTCCGCGTGTCACACCTAGCAGCTATATCAACGTTAACGATGGAGTCTCAGGTTCTTTGCTCGTCCCATTGCGTCTCTTGGTGTGATCTTACCCGGAGTTGATACCTCTTAATTATGTACTCCTTATCTCACTTGACTGCAGGTCGCCCGCGTTTCGTTTTTATTTGCCCTCGCGGTCTTGTAACTTATGAACCACGCTGCATCCCTGCAGCCTTCCGCTACGTACCTCTCTCATTAGCTTTCTGATTCGAATATGTAATTGCGTCGTGATACGCTCGCATGTTTCAAACCTTCGACTTGGTCGCGGTAACCTTTGATGAAATTGGTGGGTGAATGAGTTACCGCAAGCGAGCGCTCTTCGTCTCTCGCTTCCTTTCTCTGACTGTGTTTTTTCTCCCTGCGCCTCTCTGCTTTTCGTTGCTTTCTCTCGCAGTCACCGAGGATTTATGGTTACCAGCCCGGCACCTGACTACTGATTGCTCGTGCAATCGCTAATTAACGCGTGCGATTGACTTTCTCGCGTTTTTCTAATTACTTCCTTTTGTCAGCATCGCTATTGCGTCGACGCCGCGCCCGCGTTCCCCGGACTCACCGCCTCGTTTCTGTTGCTGAGCTCTCACTCTGTTTCCCCTCGATCTCTTCCGCGTTTAACTAGATTGCTCCAAGCGACTGGGCAATTTTGCTATTTTAATTACGGCGCGTAATCGTGTTGTTAATTGCAGAACAACATGCGGCGAACAGATGTCAGTTGCGGTTATTTCAATGCGTCGCATCGCGTTGCCTCCGCTAATCACGTTGCAGGAATCTAAATAGCAGCGACAGGCTGAAGCTTCCGTATCCAGTGTGTCTATGTATAGCCGGGCCTGCAATCCAGCAGATCAATCTCCCGCTATTATGACATGATATTCGCGCTATTTAGTAGACATACATTATTTCTTAGAGGGTGTAGGGTTGATTAATGTTTATGATATTTTATGCTGACATCTGTGTTTCATACATTAATGCTTTCTTGTGTATTAGCATTCGCTGTACAGTTTTTATTTATCTGTTAACATACTTCGATAGAATGTTACCTATATTTATCTTACCTTTCTCGTTTGGAAACTTTCTCTATGAGAAGATTTTATATACTCATCCAACGTGCTTAAACAAGAATCCATTGGTACCTCGGCAATGCGTTGCTACCTATTTACATATAGGAATCAACATCTCCAACGTATATTTATAGTTCAATATACCAAGCGCTATATAGCCTCGCAGTGGTGGATTCCGATCTAACACAGCCTCGTGTGGCGCCTCTCTGTACCTGCGCTTCGTACGGCTGAATTGGTGAGTCAGATACAGGTGAATGCTTACCTTGTCACGCCAAGCATGGCCGACTTGCCGACATGGGAAAATAGCGCGACCCTGCTGTTAGGGTCCGTGTCTCCGTCTCGCTCTCTCCCCGTCTCTCGCTGCCCGTCTCTTTCTCTCTCTCTCTCTCTTCTCATTTTCTCTCTCTCTCTCTCTCTCTATTACTCTCGCTATCTGTCTTCCTCTCTCAGGCTCTCCCTCTCACTCCCCCATCTCTCTCTTCACCCTTCTGTTCCTTTCACTCTCTGACGCATTTGCTCCCTCTTCCGCTTTCTCTCAGCTCCAAATTCATCTAAGTATCTCAAAATGTGTTCTCACACGGTGGCGGTGCAACGCGGTGATAACTGACCTATGCTCACGCGCTGTGTATAGACAAGACTGCAGCTATTGCACATACCAATCAACGTTTAGTGTGCTCTAGCAATGCAAGAGTAGGATCTGAGCCACCATGCTCTGGAATGAAATAGAGAGAGAGAGCTTCAAGCATGCACACCAGATGCTACGATCACTAGCATCTATAGATATGTGGTTCGATAGACCGCCATGTTTCCATCTGCGTGATGCGACCGCACCGTAAGTATGACCAGGACGACCATGGCACGGACTTTCTATCTGCTTGTCAGTATTTCCCACACGAACTGTGTGTTTATTAATTACGTTTATGCGGTTGCGTGTCCGTGTTATATTGTCAGGTTTTTGCAAAGGAACCTACAGACAATGCTAGTGATCGTAACACCTCGAATCCGACGCAGAAACCGAGGGGATTAGGCGATGTCTATACAGTAAGGATCCACCGCATGTTGCAGAGTGTTCAGCTTCAGCAAATCGAGAGCGTGCGATGGTATATATATATATATCAGAAGTAGATAATAGGGAATAATAGATAATCCCTATTATCTACTTCTGATATATATATATATACAGGTATTAATATTTACATATGCACACACGATTCGTGAAAAATGTCAAATGCTCAAAATGCATGTTTCCTTATATACTTGTAGGTATTACCGGTATGAGTGTGTGCAAATTCTATCATACAATGTGCGTGTGATTTCTAACGATAACATACCATACGTAGCACGTTTTAGGATTCTTACAATAATTCCTTATGTTTGAGTCGCATGTACATACACTGCATTGTGTTACCTTTATATTTCGACAAAAATACTTAGATGAAGTCGTAAGAGTAAGATGAGAGGCAGACATTTACTCAACAAAGTAAACCAACTCTCCGCCATTTACTAGTGAAACGTAATTGAATTGAGCTTACGCGTGTAACAAACTACAAAACAATTGATGTACATGTATTCGCGTGTCCGTGTAAGAATCCGAAAACCAACTAGTGATCGTATCGTTCAACTATGGCCATTAGTGTAAAGAAATACACGCACTAGCGTATGTCAGAATTTGCATACATATTTCCCGATATTACCTGAGATATGTGTGGTATCACTGCTAAAGCAAATAGTGGTATCCGGACAGTCTCTCACGGCAAATATAATAGTCAACGGGAATCAAGCATTAAAGCACAAAATGCTGAGAAAGGATTTTAGTTACCAAGGAAGGCATGCATGCCACTTTAATAAATATTGCTATTTTGTAGGTATTTTTCTAAAAGAGAGAAAATATCACAGAACTAAATTATCTCCCTAGGATATGCTAGTTGCGTGTGCCTTTATACAGTTACAACACAAAGGCGTATAGAATAGTAGTCGATAGTTGGCGAGCGTCACGATGCAAGTGCTATGGGGAGACGCATGCTGAGTTAAGGAAATAATCACCATGGACGGAACAGCAGAGACACACATACACTCGGAGTTGAATGAGGCTTATATGTAGGGTGCCTGTTAAACGTCTTATATATATATATATATATATATATATAGATAGATAGATAGATACAATAACTAACAACCAAGAACTACCAAGAACGACAACGAACGAAAAGTTAAGTTAAGTGCGACGAAGGTAATAAAGAATAA